AAAACTGCAAAGGACTCGTCCAAGCAGTCACTGCAGAGTCGGTAACAACTGAGCGCCGATTAAAAAAAAACAAAACTGTCCTTCAGCTATGTTGGTGATTGTTGATTGAGGCTTCTAGAAATTCTAGTCTTAACACAGCTGGAGGATATCATATTAGGCAAGACTGATCCAAAAATCTAAACCTAATGCAAAATCTATCCCCTTACACCTCAGTGAATTACAATTACAGCTGCTTAGAAAATGTTTACTGAGAATTCCAAGGCTGGATTGTTATGACGATCTAAGGCAGGCTTTCCTGTTACCAACATAACTGGTAATTCAAATATAAAGGGTTCAAAAGCAAAAGAACTGTAATTTTGGAAAAGAATGGCTAATTATATAGTTCTTTAATCCTGGTCAGACATCACTATCCTTTTCAAAAACATTGACCAGAACAATAACAAGATTTAACAATCTATATATGAAGAAAGATTTTAAGAAATTGATTTTGAATGTAAACTAATTCTGAAATCATAGGAAAAAATCCAGTAAAATGAATATGTAAAATTTTCTTACATAATCTCTGCAAAGTTGTAGAACTACTGCTTTAATAGACAGTTTATCATCTTTATAAAAAAAGAATGAATTTGTTAATTTTCATCGTACAGAGTAAATTGATTTCTGCCATGCCAGATTAAAACTTTAGGAATTAGATTAAGCTCTCCCATGAAAAATTCAAAGCACATGAGGTAATATTCTTTATTAGACCAAAAATATAATCTATATTTCTTCTGGGATTAAATTGTAATTTGTTGTTATTGAACTCCAATATATTATGGAACAAATTTTGTTTTGTTTGTGTATTTAGGATTGGGTTGAATCTAAACTACATTAGTTAGGTTTAATCCTACTGAAAACCAACAGCATTAAAGTATGACTGAGGGTTTTTTTAGACCTGATCTAGAAAACCATAAATTCGATTTTTTAAAATCAAAATTCCATAAAGGTGCCTACGATTATTTGTGGTTCATGGTGCAAATCTAAGAGCAATCACAAGATGGCACAAAAGTGCATAAAATGTCATACATAGTGTTGAAAATTCTTCCTTTGAACAAAAAGGAAAAATATCCAGTTCCAATTAATTTTGAAGCAAGCATGTAAAGTATTGTACTTAATATTGTTGGATCTGAAAAAATATGACAAGTTTTATCATTTGCTACATGTAAACTGAGATTACATGCTGTTGTTGCTCTGTGTAATAATGACCCCCTCTCATTCTTTGTTCCTCCCAATTGCTGACTCCATAACCAATCCATTTTTTTTTTCTGGATTGATTTGAAATTCATTACTGAAAAAGATGGTTGCAACTTCTGTGCCACAATTTAGGAGAGAGGCAGATCTCTAATGGTTAAAATGGCCATCTTCCTACTTTATAAACAACAGTTCTTTATTTGAAGAGCTGAAAGAGGACAGTCCTCTGCTTGTTTGAAATTGAAGAGCTGTTCTGTCTAAGTTCATTTTCATGAGGAAGGCCCATATTCTCTTTTAACTTCTTACATAGCTATGTATTTCTTCTTGGCAGTCATAATGTCATCTTACTCATGGAGCTATAATGAAGGTCACCAGATGTTCTTGCTATGTTTTCACTTTTAAGGTCTGCCTAGGAGTATAATTTATAATTTAAGTAGTGTAAAATGATATGGGCCAAGTAACAAAATATTGGATTTTTACAATAAGCATATTAACCCAATCTATACTTTAGGATATATAGTATAGGCATTTTTTTTTCTTTTAGCAAATTCAAATCAATAGTAATTCTATTTACTGCACAGTATTATAACAATAGAGACTTGACGAGATTTTTATATATCCATATGTTTCATTTTATTATCCATTCAGTCAGATAATGTATAGTTATGAAAGAATTATGAAATGTAACAGGAGGAAAAGTACAGTCCTCTACTAGGGGACAAAAAAAAAGGCAAAAGTGGTGTGGTGCGGACCTGGCTTCGCAGGAGTACATGTGAAAAGTCTGTTATAGAAGACTGAGTTAAACATAAGCCAATAGTGTGATACATCTGTTCAAAAGGCAAATGACATTTTGAAACATATTAACAAGAGCATAAAGTCCACATTATAGGAAGTAATTGTAAGACCCCACTGGAAAACAGTGTCTAGTTCTGGACACCATGGTGTAAAATGGGTATCAATAAACTGGAGTAAGTTCGGAGAAGGTCTACCAAGTTGTAGAACAACGGTTAAAGGAACAGGGTAGGTTTAGCCTGCAGAAGAAAAGACTAAGGGGAGACATGATATCTGTCTTCAGATACCTTAATGGTTGTCATGTGGAGGAAGGAATGAACTTGTTCTCTTTTACTCCAGGGGGCAGTACTAGAACCAATGAACTGACAGTACAG